TAATCGTACTGTGCTGTACGTTTAAGCGTTGCCAATAATAAAGCTTCCCAAGCAACGATTTAAGTATTTGTTACGTATATGGGACTTTTGAAGAAACTTAAAAGTGTTTTGGGACAGTCGCCGGTCTCTTTATATTACTCTTTTATTACTAAGTTACGACTAAAGAGGGGAACAATTATTGAGTTCCAAAAAGGTAACAAATATGTCACTAGCTATAAACCCTGCTACTATTTGGAACGTAGCTGCTACGTTACTAGAACGTTCCAATATCGTTGCTAGAGCGTTATAATTACTTTTATTTATTTGTTTTTACTTCTATATTAACTGTCTTTGTCAAACTTATATTAGATTATACTATCCCTCCTTTTTAAATGGAACCACTACGGACTTGGCTTTTCAATGTCGTCGTTTATTAAATATGTACTGGTAGTTTATAACTTCAAGAATAACAATATAATGTTTAATTATAATTATAGGTAGGTAAATTTATAAACCCTTTAAATTTTACTGTTTAACTTATGAATTTAGTTTTTGTAAAATAAATGCGCTTTATCAAAATTTAAGTATAAACAAATTATTTATTTAATAATGTTTATAAATAAAAAAATCTTAATATTTATTATTAATTTTTTTATTTAATTATTAATACCGTCTATTACCAACACAATTACTATTAAAAAGTAAACAACCATTTACAAACAATTAAAATAATTTATTATTTTTATTACCACGTGGTACTGTACAGTAAAAAATGGCCGATAAGAAGCATTTTCCTTTGAAGTAGTTTTCGCTACTTTAAAGTTTTTTTCCACTTTACGGTTGTTTTGGTTAGTACCATAAACGTTCCAAATACTAAAATAATAACTTTTAACTCATGTTCCCGTTTCGAGATTTTAACTTGCAGTTTTTATACTTAAAATAACCCGATCTAGTGTATATCCCAGACCGCAAAATTCAAATCCCTGCATATTTCAGGAATATTCCCAGGATTATTCGTAATTATTAGTAATTACTACCAAAGTATTCGCTTATCTCCTAGGCTGTAAAAATAATTTAGACCAATCAGGTGAAGTTTTTTACATCCTAGTCTGTAAAAACCCTATTGGGACCAACAAAAAAATTCGATAAATGATGGCAGCGCTGAGCTATCTAACCTCACTTTATACTTTTAATAATTGTTATTATAATTGTAAACACGTTTTATGCGAGGTTTCATGTATAGTTTAACAAATAAAAATGTGCCTTGAAGTTAAAATGTTGTATGCTATTCGTCTGACACGTGTCTTAAGCTTCGCTCAATTGTAGGGCTCTGCTAACGCGTCGGACTTTGAGCTCAGCACAAAGACTCACTTCTCAGCCTTATGACGTAACGCCCTTGTACTGTGCGTTCAGGCTAAGTTGAGCGGTCTAAGGAATGTCACCCCGTTCATCATCTCTATGTTCAGGCACAATTAAATACATGTATTTCGGTAGTCGCTCTGTATTAACAAACGGCAAGTGGCGGCACTGATAAATCATCTTCTTGTTACCGAAATCTCGCGACGATTCGATATTTAAATTAATCAACGGCCACATGATCCCCCACCAAAGCGCTCAACTTAGCCTGAACGGACTGTAAATTTCGTGGTGTGATTTATTGTAAATGATGCAAAGGTGTAAATAAGACATATTTATTACAGTTTCATTTAGTTACATACTTTCATATAATTTTATATTTATTTATATATTTATAGATACGCGATTCATTACAGGCAGTTTTCATCAAACAGCACATGCTATGAACCTTTCACTGTGTTCACATATACAATATTGGCAAAAACAATAAACAAATAAAACAAAACAAAATACTGCTTAGATCAGCTCGCAACTAATTTTTTATTTCTTATTCACTCGCAAATGTTCATTCTTAATTTCAAAGTCAAGGGAAGGGAATTTTATGGCATTTGACTCACCTTACATTTATTTCTCGACAAAAGGTCGTTTTTCTCAGTAGTTACACCTTTATTTTAATTAATTCCAATTGAAATTAGTTTGGGGCAGTTTCTATGTAGGCAGTATCACTATTGAGCTTTAGGAAATTCAGAGACAGCTGCTAATTTAATAAATGTAAGGGAGTTTTTTTTAATTAATACATAAAAATAGAGGACGATCTATTTTTTAGTACATTGCTGTTAAATTGATGTGCAATTATTTATTTGTTAAACCTATCGAAAACTTCCCAAAAAATGGTATGATTAGGAAAATGTGTAGACAAATAATGTATGTTATCAATATATTACGTTTTAAAGAAAATTATGAAAACACGTTTATTTTATACAGCTTTTGTCAAAATTATTTATTTTACTAAATACGAAATTCTACATTAAAAGAAAGCAATAAACCAGAGCAAAACATATTAAATATATGTATGTATGTATATATATATAATATATTATATATATATATATTTCCAGCGCTAAATATGAAAAGAGTTCCTAAGAACATGGGGTAAAAAATCCTTTATAAGGGGACTACACCCCTTACAAGGGTATCTCCAAATTCCATCCAAACATTTTTACAGCGCAATATGAAAAAAGTTTTTAAGAATATGGTCAAAAATGCTTTAGGCATTATGGAATGATGCAGAACTAGTGGCGGCTGGTGGATTTTGGGTATACCGATATCTCAATTATTAGATATGGGACACACACCAAATTTATAAAATTTATATGTATTTATAATGACATTAAATAAACAAGTTCTGCGCAAGCAGAATTTAAATTAAAATTTGCTCGGCCGTACCGGCCCCATGACGCCCCCAATAAATATAATATAAATTTAATTGGTGCAATTTATTATTTAGGTACAATAGTTTATCGACAAATTTCAAATTTCATTTAAAAAATCCAAATTTTACCGATTTTATACCATTTAAAATTTTTAATATTTCTTTTCAAAGAAAAAATAAAAATGTAAAATGATATAAAATCTGTATGATTTGGATTTTTTAAATAAAATTTGAAATTTGTCGATAAACTATGGTTAATAATAAATTGCACCAATTAAATTTATATTATATTTATTGGGGGCGCCATGGGGCCGGTACAACCGAGCAAAAAGTTATCTTTTTTTCGCAAACTTCAATTTAAATTCTGCCTGCACAGAACTTGTTTATTTAATGTCATTAAAAACTCATATAAATTTGGTGTGGGTCCCATATCTAATAATTGAGATATCGGTATACCCAAAATCCACCAGCCGCCACTGTGCAGAACCATAATTTTTAAAACCATTTTTCTTCAATTTTAGTTATTGTATTAAAAATAATTTAAAAAAATAACAAATATTAAACATTTGGGTAATTTATTTAATTAATTTTATAAATAAAAGAGAAAAAAATGAAATTGTAATAATTTGCAAAACATTACAAAAATATTTTTTTTAACGTTTCTCATATTAAAAATATTAAAATAAAAAGAAAATATCGTAGTGTTGTTAAAAAAAATAAATTTGAAATTATTTTAAGAAAAGATAAATATTTTTCTACTCCTATTACGAAATATGACCGTTCTAATATCACTCTTTAATGTAGAATTACATATATTTCTTAAAGAGTTACAGAATGAATTCATTCTATCATCGGATGACGGTATAAACACAGGTGCGCCATCTCTGTGTTTATTATCTAACAACTTTTAGACCGATCCAACCCCATTTTCTCCCATACTCCACTCTCGTGAAACCGTCAAACTCGCCTTCGGCTCGTGGGACAAACTTTTCACTCGAGCGGAATATGCCGAATTCCAAACTTGTTACAGTATATACTATTATAATAATGTCAATGTTTATAAGTTAAGCTTAAATACAATATAGTTTGTTATAAATATGAAAAACGTTTTAAAAACTTATAAAACTGTAGTATTTTATTAAAAAATTTGAGATTTTAAGTATATTATATTCTCAACATTTTAAAGTAGATTATGTAATTAACCAAATAAATAATTTTGACTGGCGGGTTTTATAAAGGTATTTTCTGAACATTTTTGCAATATTTTAATTTAACAAACAATATTCTGTATTTTTGTATCATTGCTGATAGATTCCTTTTAGAAAGGCAAATGTAAAAAATCACATTTTTGGTGTAGAAATATTTCTATGCAACATTAAATATAATAGAAGTTATAACAAAGAAAAAAAAACAATAACAGCAATATGTTGATATTTTACAAGATCTGCCGATTTATTTAGTGTGTACACAGTAGTCAAGAAGTAAAACAATTCTTGAAAATAAAAAACAATGTAATTGAAGGCTTTATAAGATATGGTAATAACTTTTTTTAGTTGTCGGTAAATACATAAAAAACAATATATGAAAATTACATACTCCTTTATGACACGTACATTGAACATGAGTCGCTGGGCAAAATAAAATAAACAACTGCCATCTCTAAAAAAACTGTCAAAATTAAAAGGGTATTCATTTAACAGATGGAGTAAAAAAATACAAACATTGTATTTTTTATTTACCTACTTTGTCTGTTAAATAAATATACTTTAGATTTTTTGTGAGATGTCGTGTAGAGCATTCTACGTCTTGACCACAGACCCACTTACAGATATAAATATTTATAATTTATTAACAAATAACATTCAGTAAACTTTTACAACTAAAACAGCGAAACTCGTGTCGATTTTTTTCGATTAAAAAAAATACGCAATTTCACAGTTTTGGTTCTTAGACTAGCGTCACATATACCTATATTTGTAATTAGTCTCTACTGAACTAATAATAATAAAAGCATGATTTCATCGAAAGTGACGAAAATCTGCATAAAAAAATTTAACAAATGAGGGTAAAGACCGAAAAAATAGATTGTTTTTTAAACTAAAGGACATGAAATTTAATGGCAACGGGCGTAAAATCGGAAGTTAATGAGCTCTAAAGTTTAAATTAATGGTCCCAATGCTTGTAAAACAATTTTGAAGTGTTTTAAATATTGTTTTTTAGTGTTATAGGTTATACAGGGTGGCCCACCTATTTGACATTTATTATAGAAAGTTAAGTCGCAAACTTTAAGAAACAGTTTGCCACTTTGCAAAAGTGAAATCGCTAAGGTTCCAAATAATATGTACCGTTTAAAAACGTCCAACTTTCCGCCCGCTCGCCGAACATTCATCTATAAGTGATGCATTATATTAAACTAGTTTCATACCTTAATTTACAAATTTTTGTTTTTTTAAATTAATCTTGGACATAAATCTAGACTTTACACTCCATTTTGTGCATCTACAGTTTTTGTAAAAATTAAATTTAATAGTCTCCATTGCTAACTCTCTTACTTTTAATCTCTCTTTATGCACTTACTTTTTTAAATTATTTTTTTGATGTTGGTAGCACTGGAATTTGTATCTAATCAATCTCGCATGCGTTTTCGGCGGCTCACTCAAGAAAATCGAAAATATCGCTTATTCTACACAATTATTTATAATAATAAACTACTAATAATAATGGAGAAAACTATATTTTTCCATGACATTATGACAGATTAGCTGTCATCTGTCAAAGTTTTGAGGTCGTGCCTAGTGGGATTGAAATAAAGGAAAAATCAATGTTCGTTTTTTTGGGAGAACTTATCAAATACAGTTAAATGCATCTTTTTTACATTAAAATAGACTACACGTCACACTTAAGTACTTCTAGAGAATGAATTATAGATATAATTTCTTTTAGCGTTTGTTTGTTTTTTTTTAAGACATTTTTTACACTTACTTGTATTTTGTTTGTATATACTGTTTTTAAGAAAAGTATTTAAAATAACTTAAATCTTAAAGAATGTCCTTGATAAAACAAACAGACTCTAATGGCTGTACCCTTATAAATCATAGTTAAAAATTGTGTGCTCAAGAAATTTTTGTAACGTCTGGCAACACCAAATTAAAATATTTTTGACGTTTCTGACCATGGAGCCTACACAAGGAGTCCAAACTGCATGTAAACAAGAATCTTCCTAAGGAAAGTAGGCGCTGATGTCCCGTTTATTCTGAAACAATTGACTAATTTGTACCGAAACGCTACCAAAAGAGCAGACGTCAGGACGCATCAACAATCAGCGCCGCTGGTGGTGAAAAAAAAAAGACTTAATTTGTGCAATTTAGAGGGCAGGTTTTGTCAATTTTCCCTATTAAGTTCGGGCTTCTTGTGTAGGCTCCATGTTTCTGACATTCTCTTAAAAAAGAGTCGATATGTCAAAGGCATCTAGAATAATAAGCATCTAATGAAATTGTTGGAAATTTAACAAAATCGAAAATGGTCAGTGTTGCGAGGTAAACAAATAATAACCATATGTGACGCGCTCCGAGAAAACGAACCTTATGTCCAAAAATAAAAATTTTCAGGTGAGGCGTTTGCGTAGTATAGGCACTTCGGAATTGTCAATTTTTGCGATAAGAAAGTTATTATTGGACTTTTCGAAAGACACTGTGCATAGAATTTTGAATGACTATCATCCCGTTGACATCAAAATCTAAACTTTCTTTATGGATAACTAACTTCACTTCCGGTTGTCACCAGTCTTGTTATTTTGAATCAAAAACAAAAAAAATCTAAATTGTATCTTTGCTATTTACAGATTTATACATGGACAACGAAATTAAGTCGTTCATAATTCTGTGTCCGCCACTGTACCAATCTACATAAAACAATCTTAATCTTGGACATCGTTTTTTGGACCCAAGGCTTGTTTTCTCGGAGCGCGTCAAAATATTATTGTAAATATACAGCCATTGGGGGAAATCAATTAAAAAGCAAACGAAAGATTGTCTTGATAAATATTGCACTAAAAGTAATTAGAATAACAGAAAATAAAATAAATATGTATAAAAATGTCTGGGAAATAAAAAATAGAAGATTTTTTTTAATATAGGGGCCAACATTATTTTGGGTTATATTTTATAATAGTACGCCCAAATTCAACGAAAACGCGTTTTGGCACAATTTTCAAAAATAAACAAATTTAAATGGGCAAAAAACTCAAAAATAAAAATAAGAGAAGTAGTTGTGTGATTTGTACTTTAAAACTGAGTGCGCTCTTGTTTTTAAGGTTGAAGAAGAAGAAGAAGAAGAGATCGAAAAACTTACACATTACGTTTTTAGATGCCGCTATTTTAGTTATTTTTAGGTATTGCGTTGTTTGTTGTTGGTCCTACTGTTTTTACGGTTGTTTTCAGAAGTATTTGAAGACCCCCTCGAATAAAACTAAAATTTGAGCAAACGTAACATGCGAACGCAGAAAGGCGGCTCTGGAGACGAGGAGAAAAAACGTAATCGCAACGAGGTGAACAATAGAGATGAGTACGGTCGTTTTGTGGTTAGTGAGGGGTAGGAGACGGGGTAAGGGGGCGGTAGTTTTTGTTTGTTAATGCTAAAAAACGAGGTGGGCGGTTATAAAAGTTCGTATTGGCGCAGATGCATTCGCTGAATGATATCACGACAGTCATTAAACACTCTCTTGATATTTTCCGTGTCCACGGCACACGTGAAGTGCGGATAGCAGAAGTGCTTGCCCTCGCCGCTGGCGGTGCTTATACGCTACAAAAAAAAAACATCAGTATATTTTTATTATATTTTTAGTCAATTAAAAACTGTCAGAACGTAACGTAACACGGACGCGTAAGCAGTTTGGACGCCACTCCTCAACATCGTAGCGTCCCATCAGTTGTCGATTTTTTGGCCGTTACATCAAAGGAATGTTAAACACCTCTGTTGCAGGCCATTTTCGCCAGTCAGGCTTGCATTTAATTGCTGTTTATTAAATCTATAATAAAATGCAACGGCAGTCCTAATAATACACGGCGATTTTTGTGACGTTGTATTTTGTTGCTCTACTGCAACACTACCGCGCAACAAAAAATGTTACGCGTCAGAGTTACGCAACGGTGTTCTGTTCTCTGTCTGTGCGCACCTTTGAATAGAAAAACACGAAATTTACTGTAAATATAGTTTGACCTTACATAACTTTTTAAAAAAGTTATTAGTATTTATAAAACCACAATGTTTTTTTTGTAGAGCATTAAATTCCCAGAAAAATATGGCCTGGTCTTATCAATACTAAAACGCGTTGACGAATAATAAAGTACTTGGTCCTATGTCCATTCCATTTAAGAAAAAAGCGTTAAGTTGAATAGTATTTATTATAGACCAATCACGACGCTTAAATTTTTGGTTTTATTTACACAGGCCAAAATTTAAAAAACCTCTCTGTCTAAAGCTTAATTTTCATGTATACGTTTGTCCGTTATCTGTTTGTACATTTTTCAATAAAATCGTCCGATAAGAAATGTTCTAATTTTCATGCATCCGTTTTTTAATGACGTTTAACGGATTGATTTGGCGACAAATAAAAATTAAGGGTCAGTATATTCACTTTACTAACTTTAACAGTTAGCTGTCTATTAAATTTAAAGGTACAAAAAAAACTCATACAGCTTAAAAATCTAGTGTTCCTGATTTTCTATCATTTCGTTGGAGTAATTATGGCTTTTTACATGATACGTCACATTTGAAAGGTCTAAAATTAAATACAAAGTTAGGTTGAAGTTTGAAAAAAAAAAATATTTCGTCATCCCTCTGTTTTTGTCAATTACTGCCCGCAAACGGCAAAGCATGGAAGTCGCCGTCTTGCTTTATCTCGTTCCAAATGGCTTCAATGGCTTGCCAGAGTTCGTCTGCATTGTTTGGTTGAAAATGTTGTTAAAAAAAGTCATAATGGATGCAGGGCTGGATGCTCCCGTGTACGAGTTTTGGTTCGTCCCGCGCATGACGTCACTTGATGAGTAGTTGCCGTGCGAATACACGAATAATATTAATATTATCAAAGAAAATAGAAAAATGTCTGGACATAGTGCGTTTTTATTAAACTTAATATTGAAGAAAGTGTTATAATATGGATAATAAATGCTTTCAGTCCTTGATAACATTAGGGCTGTAGTTTAAGCGTTGGTGTTTTAAATTAAACTTATAGTCACTGTCCAGAAAATGTTTATAGGAAACAGAAGCGGTCTTAACGTAAATATTGTCTATTATTTTTGTGGCTTTTAAACACTGTTTCCACAAATCAAACTTTTTCGGAAATCGATTAAATTTAATGTTTTTATTTAAAGGGTTTTTCTTGGACTGGTTGTCCGAATTGCATCCAAATATGCCACACCGCATTTTAATAAATGCAAATGGCACTGTACAATCTAAAACACAAACAAAACAAGTTAACGCAACACAAAAACAATAATAAACAAACATAACAGGTTAACCTAACCCAATAACAATAATTTGAACGCTGAAAAGTAATTCGAACCTTACCGAACACAAAAACGACAAGTTAAACAAAAAGTTTATTTTAAAATACCCCCCCCCCCCCTATTGAGATATTCGTCTATTTGGTTTGGTCTAGGGTATCTTGTAATGGATGTGACAAAGTAAGAAGATTATATTCAGGAGCTTCAACTCCGCATGAGAATGGATAGAAAACGCGTCGTATCGTGTACAATGCGCACAAATAATTATTAATCAACCGCGCATAGATCGTCAACTCACGTGACAGACTGCACGTGCACTCATTGGTTGGAAGATTTACAACAGAAAAAAAGAAGGTTGATTGACATGCTTTATTTTAATTTTAAAATTTTTATTTGAGAAAATCACTACATAAGTATAGGATGTTTGTGCTGTGTTAAAAATTGTTTAATTTGTCAAGGGATAAAAAACCTACACATCAGTTATTTAAAATACCATCAGTAAGTTTATAACAAAACATTACAGTGTAATAATTACACCACAAAACTTGAAATTGTCTGATTTTACATTGCAAAATTCAGTTATTTTATACGTGAAAATACATTACTGATGACCAAATTAACATCATTACATGCATGTTTACATGTAAACTGCAGTTTACGTTTTCTGCTACAACGACAGTAATACTGATTAGTTCATAAATTTACTCACTGTTTTAACAAACTGTTCTCTTTACTACTAAGATTTTATTATAATATAAAATATTATTATTACATTATAATCTTCTTATTTACAAAATTGGTCAAGGTAAACATTGGTTTGATGCTTGACAGGTGCACAAAATAATAGAGGTTAAAAAGATACCTTCTTTATCTCTGCAAAAGATGCGCAGAACTCAATTTTGCGTTCTCGGTCATTGTACACGTGCGACATTCTTGTGGACCCCCCCACTCCTCGAATTTATATGGAGTTGAAGCTCCTGAATATAATCTTCTTATGACAAAGCTCGATGTCAGCTTGACATTGACGGAAAAGTTTTATTCACACAGCCACAATATCGATGACTTTCTGCCAAAGTATCGCAAGCAACATAACTCAAATTTCGAGAATTGAAAACATTTTTTGTCTTAAAGTCTATTTAAAATTAAATATAGCGGCTATATTATAGCCTAAAGGTTTTATAACAAGTAAATAACTTATAATTATAGCTATTTACTTGTTATAAAACCTATAGGTTATATATGATTTAAAACAGACTTTAAAATAAAAAATGTTTTCAATGCCCGAAATTTGAGTTATGTTGCTTGCGATACTTTGGCAAAAAGTCATCGATATAGCTGTATGAGTTTTTTTTGTTAGCGATAGTAGGTAAATATACCATATAAAAAGAAAATACTAGCCTTAATTTACATTAAAATGTATAGTTTTAAAAAAGCAGGTCCTTTTAGTTCTGGTTTTAATATTTTATTGTTTGTCTTTTCTTTTTTTCTGTTATTATTATTCAATAAAAACATAAAAGTAGAACATTATTCACATAACGAACGTTATATTTCCGTTTTACAATCTTATTAAAAGAATATTAAAAGATTTGAAAATAAAGTATCTTAAAATAACGTTAGGCGTCAAAAACAGATGTGTAGTGACGGATGAGTTGAAATTATTTTAACTTTTTCTGTCAGACGTACAAGTTGAAACTTGACGGACCGATAAAATGTCATACATTTTGAGTTATAATTGGACCAATAAGAGCGCTCCCGGATGAACGGACAAACGGATACATGAAAATTAAGCTTAAGCTTATCAATATCAATATCAATATTATATCATATATATAATATAATATATTATCAATATTAAGCTTAAGCTTATCAATATCCAAAGCTTAAGCTTAAGCTTATCAATATCCAACGTATTAATTAATACGTTGGATATTGATATAACGTAGTTCTCATGCACTGATGCCCGTATGCACAGTTTTAAAGCCTAAGCCTAGTTAGCAAATCGCGATTATGTTAATCTTTCTCCATCATAATGCACCGTACGCGGATTGTGCAATCTGGATTGGCGATTTGGCAAAGCTGTTTTATTTGTCAAAAAACACAAAAAACTGTCAATCGTAAATTCAAATCGATTGACAACCATAGAGAAACAATCTATGTTGACAAACTAAAATTTAAATTTTGTTATATGCCTAATATACAATAACTTTTATATGGAATTTTTTTTTGGATCATCCTTCGTCTGTCTATAAAATGGGAGACCAGAATTCCTAACTTTTCACCAGCGGAAAAAGAAAATCTAATGATGATTGTTATGAGGTATTCTAAAATATTGGAAGACAAAAAAAAACTAACAGAAAAGTCGAGCGCTCAGGGCTTCAATATTTAATTTCATTAAGAAAGTTTAGAATGGTGGGTTTAGTCAATCGAAATCAGCGAAAAAACGAAAAATTGTCCATGGTGTCAAAATATTCGCTCCTTTAATAATTTCGTCGCGGAAATCCAAAATTAATTATGTCCAGAATATCTTGATCATCTTCTACAAATAGTTCTTCTTCTAAATCCATTATTTATTTATATTTTTTACTATTTCAACTATTACTAGTTTTTGAAATCTACTTTTGAAGTTTGGAACTAAAAATTTGGTTAGAAAATCAGTTAATCCTGCGATTAATCCTACCTCGCCGGTGGATCTCGTAATCGAACACTTAAACTACATTTTTCGCGCGGTGCATGATAAATTTTTGAACTAAGCGAGATTAAACTCCTAATCGAGATTAAGTCCATACGGTGCATACGGGCATTAATATTTTCTTAAGCAGCGTTGCCATGGCTTCTAAAAACAAATTTACAAACTGACTTAATAATATTATACAATAAACCAGAGTTTTTATATTATAATAAGATAATATTATATTAGCTTTTGTTGTAAATTTGTGAAAAATATTTTAATTATCGAAAGAATAGGTATATCTTTTCAGAAGTTTTTATTCATCGCACTTTGGCAACGTAGGATTCAATTTGATTTTTAATGGCTTCAGTAACTGAAGTTCAGTTGTATCAGCTGTTATTATACAAAGTGTATATTTTGTTAATTTATTACATGTTCTGTGATTTAAATAATAATTATTGGCATTATTTAACGTATTAACAGTTGTTAATAAATTGTTACTGAAGAACAGGTAAGTCAATTACATTAAAATCGCTTAACATAACCAAAGAAAAATACTTTTATATTTTTAGAGACAATATTGATAATATGGACAATACTTATAAACAATAGGTAGCTTTAGATTTACG